AGCGCGCTTCAACCGAGGAGCGAGGGGGCTAACTTACGCATCAAGGACTTGCTTAATCTCGTCAATGTCGGCTGAGTCGCCGTCAAGATTGCGGTGAATGCTACTGATGAGTTTCTGCCATTCAGGCGAGGCGGTTTGCTGCTCCATTGCGACGGGGTTGGAGCTGGGCGCAGCCATGGTCGTCGGCACACTCACGTACAAGTCCACCACCAGTGCGATGCCAATTGAGGTCAATCGCTCGCTCAGACACCAAGAACAACTAGCACAAGGCGACACCGAAAGCCCCAAAAGACAGAGGAGCAGAGCACAGCGAGAGAGAGAGAGAGAGAGAGAGAGAGAGAGAGAGAGAGAGAGAGAGAGAGAGAGAGAGAGAGAGAGAGAGAGAGAGAGAGAGAGAGAGGGCAGCGAGGGTCAACTTGAAAAATCACCAAAAAAAGATCAAAGATGCTGTTGCTGTCTTACAGTAAAAGCCAACCTTACGTTGCGGTCGTTTGCAAGAGAATAAGCTTGTACCAATGACGCACCACAAGCGAACGAAGAAAGAAAGCAACAACCAGAAGGGGGAGCAGAGGGAGAAGAGGGGGCAGTGAGGGGGGCCACCACCACCACCACCCTTAACAAGAAGAGCAGGAGTGGGACATCAGATTCCTCGTTGGCCATGGTCTGACAAGCTGATAACGTTGAGATCGGTGCCGTCTTGCGGCATCTTGTCCTGCTTGCGTGGTGCGGACGCCTTGCGTCAAGCTCCTGCAGAAACATCACATATGTAACGTGCGGCGCCGCAGCACGGCAAATCGGCCGAAGAATTCAGAATGCCCATCCAAAAGTAAAATACTACATAGAAATAGAGACAAGTAATTTACTTATACAAAATAAAAAGTGAAATACTTTCGCTACACCCTCGCATGGCATGACAGTAAAAGTCTCACAAATATTACACTTCCGCCCACGTACGGTTACAACACATGCAGAGTTGCTTTCTCTCTCTCTCTCTCTTTCATTTCTCTCTCTCTGTCTCTGTCTTCTCTTGGTACTGGCGACCGCTCCCTGCTCCCTGCTCCCTGCTCCCTGCTCCCTGCGACCTCTTGCTTTGTCTGTGTCTGCCGACAGCTTCAGCGGCGACACAGCTAATGCACAGGGCTTGGTGCGCCCCATCTACCTTGCCTCTCATCTTCTCTTTTTTTTTCCTTCGCTCTGCCTTGAAATAGGTTCATCTTTTCGCCGTCAACGCGTCCAAGCTGACCAGCTCTCGAGGCTTTGCTCACGCCTCTGGGCAGCCAGTTTCGAGATTTGGTCCCATCCTGGCCAGCGCTCTCGCCCCATCATCATTCACCTTCAACGTCAGGTCAGCTAGTCCCCTCCTCGTCTCTTCTTCAGCCCTTTGTTGAATGCCAATCCTCACAAGCCTTGAAAAATTTGCTGCAGCACAACCCTTCAGCATGGCCGAATCCCGCGTGGACATTGACGCGTATGTCCGCGTCACCCCCGTTCTCTCGTCCCGCACACCCTCGTTTTTCTCATTGCATCCACATCTCGCTCTTGACTCGCATGTCTCCAGAGCCGACCCTCTGCCTTTGAACCGTACCAGCTCCTTCGGCCAAAAAGAACCCCGTCCCTCTTTTCGTGCCGTCTTCACGCACGGTGCGCCCCCCCCCGCCCCCACGTCTCGGCACTCCAGCCCGCTTGTTGTATCCCAAACCGCGCAAGTGCTTGTGCCCCCGGCTCAGGTTACCCTGTCCTGCTCGTTTGCTGACATCAATGCTATACAGGACGGCCTCCGTGGTATCGCTTGGATGGCCATCAAGAAAAGGCCCTTGTCATTGGTGCGGCCCATTGCTCCTGGCGCCGTCTACCGTGACCGCATGCCCGCTTGAGGGACGGACGCCCAAATGCTCCCTTGATATGTCCGTCTCACTTTCTCTCCTGCTTCCCACCGGCTCTCGTCTGCTAGGCGTGTGTGGTGGCAGCGCCAGCGGTAAAACCACGTTGGCCAACCGCATCATCGAGTGCCTCAACATCCGCTGGGTCTGCCTTCTCTCCATGGATAGCTTTTACAAGGCAAGTGTCTCAGCTCGCACCATCCTGGCAAAGCCAATGCGCTTTTGACCCACGTGCCCTCTTTTGTCACCTTATCCAACTTGCTTGTTTCACTGTCTCTCATCTCTTTTTCTGCTCGCGACCAGGTTTTGAACGAGGAGGAACACGCCCGCGCAGCCAAAAGCAACTACGATTTCGATTGCCCCGAGGCTTTTGATATCGATCTACTTGTGGAAACTCTCAAGGAGCTCAAGGCCGGCCGTTCCGTTGAAGTGCCGACCTACAACTTTGTCACTCACTCGCGTGAGCCCGGCTATACCATGTATGGCGCCAACGTGATCGTTTTTGAGGTGAGCAGCTCACCGTGCTCGCCTCCACTTGATGCTCATCACCCACATCACCCACATCAGCCCTTTTTGATCCCTTTGAAAACTTTTTTTGCCCCATCTGTGCCTTGTCCGCCTGCTTCCTCATATCCACCGCATCACATCTTCGTCGCTGACGCATTGCCAGGGTATCATGGCCTACTGCGATCAACGTGTGCGCGACCTCTTGGACGTCAAAATCTTTGTTACAGAAGACGCCGACGTTCGCCTAGCTCGCCGGTTGGTCCCACATCTCAGAATGCTGCCCTAGGACAGGTTGCTGGGTGATTGTTTTCTTATCTGGTTCTTGGCATGTGCGTGGGACAGCCTGCTGCGTGACACCAACGAGCGTGGGCGCGAGGTGAAGGGCTCCATTACGCAGTACAATCGCTTTGTGTATCCAGCTTTCAAAAATCACATTGAGCCGACCATGCAGTTTGCTGACCTCGTCATCCCTCGCGGTCCGTACACCCCCTTTCTGTGTTTTGGTTTTCTCCCTTACCACCTGTTGCTTCAGTCCTCACTCCACAAGTGGCGCATAGGTGTCTCCAACCCTGTTGCATTGGACCTTATTATTACCAAGGTCAAGGAGGGACTCGCCAGTCGCGGCCATGATCTCAGGTTTGTGGCAAAAGTTTGAAGAGACAGCATATTGCTTGCCAAGATCTGGCGTTTCCTTTCCATGCACATTTCCACGCTTTATACCACTGGCATTCATCGCCATTTGGTGGTTTTATGTGTACGGATAGAGGCATGGCAGCTCGTGATGGTGATATGGAAGACCCTTCTTCTCTCCATTACGTGCCCGCTTCCGACCAACTTCACGGTCTTATGACCACCATTCGTGATCGCGACTCTGTACGTCTACGCTCCCTGCAACCCCCGTGCCCGGCACTCAGGACCGAGAAACTTGTGTGCTTAAACTCGGGTGTCTTCCCTTCACAAAACTTTATTTATCCACCTTGTTCGGTGTCCGTATGTTGCAGTCACGCGATGACTTTGTTTTCTCGACTAATCGGGTGCTGCGCCTGACGGTCGAGCATGCGTTGTCACTCTGCCCTTTTGAGGATGTGGTTGTCGAGACGGCTGTCGGCACCTACCTCGGTCGCCGAAGGACCCATCAGGTACGCTTGCAACCGTCAAGAATGGTAAACTAGGAGAAGGATGCACTGTTTATCAAACTTTGTGCTTTTCTTTGGATGATTAGATCACGGGCGTGTCCATCGTGCGTGCCGGCATGAGCTTTGAAGAACCCCTGCGCCAATGTGTGCGCGACGTTAACATTGGTCAAATTCTGATCCAGACAAACCTCACCACAGGCCAGCCCGAAGTCTGTACTTGCCTCCGCTTGATTTGTTCTGGTTGGGGCCTGGCTTGGCCCGGCCTGGCTAGAACGGCCAGTGTTATCTTCTCGTTGTTCGTGGGGCCGCCGCTCACCCACACCTGCACGGCAGTTTTTCCACAAAGTGCTGCCCAATGGCATCTCCAATCACAAGGTCATGCTCATGGATGCCACGCTGGCCACTGGTGCTTCTGGTCAGTCCCGCCTCTGTCACACCGATTGGGGGTTCAATCCATTCTTTGGTCACATACCGTCCACTCATGCCACGTCTTTGTTGGTAGCCATGATGGCTATTCGTGTGCTCATGGATCATCACGTGCCGGAGGAGAACATTATCCTGGTGGTCTTGATGGCCGCCTCCATGGGTGTGGCCCAAGTGGCGTATGCCTTTCCAAAGGTGCAAATTGTTGTGGCTGCCATGGATCGTGTTGTCGACAACCAGTTTCGCATTCATCCCGGGCTCGGGAATTTCGGTACGGGCAACCCAGGACCTCCCGCATCGTCGCTGTAGTGTATCGCGAAGCTCAGGTCTCTCATTTCCTCATTTCCATGCCAACTTGCCATCGATCGCAGGCGACCGTTTCTACGGCACCGAGCATCTTGGAGACCGCACTACCACCTCGCCAACCTAAGAAAATGTCCTTTTGCAGATGTGCCTGTGCGTGGTGCCCCCTCTCCTTTGGCGTGCCACTCGCCAGGGCGTTGCCGCGCCATCCCATCCCAGCCATCAACCACTAGAGGGCTAATGGCTTTGGACTGGTTTGAGTGTCCACCTTGAGAGGGGTAGAGTAATTTTTTTTCCCCCCATTTTTCATTTTGTGTATTCATGTGGTTCTTGTGCGCTCTCCTGCGAACTGCCGGGATTGCAATTTGAGAGTGGATTGGGAGGGTGACTGGGAAGCGCAGGTCAGCGGGCATGTTGTGGTGTCGTTTGACTGCAAACGCCCGTGCGAGTATGTTTCCTGCCGCCCCAAGCATCGTCCTTTGCCGAATCTTTGACCAATTTTATCTTCAATGTGGGGTCTGAATTTCTAGCATGTATTACGTTTGCGCCTGGTTCATAAAACGCTCAAGGGTGAGGCACCAAACGACAAGCGAGCGGATAATCATGTTGAGCAGATGGGAGCAAGCTTCGCGGGGCACAGCCTCGGCCACGAGGCTTGTTCTCAATGGCACTCGGGTGTGCAAGTCAGGTCAAGGCCTCTCAGCTGGAGCCGCCTGGGTACTTTGAGCGGTCGCCTGTCGTGTAGCAACGTAGACGACTCCATTGCGATCAATCTCGCGTTGCAAGCGTGCCACAAGCTCGCCCTCGGTCAGGGTCTCAGGCTGAGTCTTAACAGAATCGAGCCAAGCATAAGTGGGCGCGGCTTTATCTGCCCCTGCCTTGATCGGGGGCAGCTGTTGTGGGGCGGTGCTTGCAGTCGACGCAGGGTGCTGAAGTGGCACGACGGCCAGCCAATGGCGACCTTGTGCCAGGCGAAACATGCGCAGTACAGACGCTGCACGTGACTGTGACCGGCATAGATAGCACATTGCGTTCAAGATTCGAGGTTAGCACGGTACGACGCAAAGCGCCTTGTTCAGAGGCCAAACGACTTACCCGCGACTTGAGATTGAGCATCAAGCCATAGAAATTTGGAACATGCAGCTCACTCGCCGAAAAGCTATACGCGCGCGCGTGTGTGCAGAGAAAGGGAGATGTGTGAGAGAGAGATGTGCGATAGAGGAAGAGAGAGGGAGAGAGAGGGAGAGAGAGGGAGAGAGAAGGAGAGAGAAGGAGAGAGAAGGAGAGGAAGACAGGGAGAGAGAAGGAGAGATAGATGGCTATTCAGCCGGCAGACTCAAAAGGTTGGGGCGGCAGATGAAAAGGGACAGCCACAGGCCATGAACCTTACGCTTGGCGATTGTCATGTTGTCGTAGCTCAATGTTCATCTGTCCATGCACAAGTCAGGGCCAAGGTCAAGGGACATGACACCAATCGGTGGCTCTTGGCAGTCCAGCCCGTTTGTGGGAGAGCAGGCGAGGCAGAGGCAGAGGCAGAGGCAGAAGGGCCATGTTTTTTTTTTTTCTTTCTTGAGGTGCGAGCATCGTCAGCGGGCGGGGGGGGGGGGGGGGGGGGGGGGGGGGGGGTT